TAACACAATGGATGCCCCACCATAGTCCTTCTAGTGTTAAAAGACTGAGAAGAAGGCATGTAGTGCTTTGATTATGGGAGGACCAGGACGAGAAGAACCGGGAGGAGGTCCTGCTGGGACTGTGATCTGCTCTGGTAGAAAGATGAGATTTTAGGTCCATGGAAGTAGAGAAGAAAGAAGGCTGGGGCAGGCAACGGGATGAATCACAATAAAGCCACATGATTCTGTAAGAGCTATCTCTCAAAAACCCTGTGTGAACTGGGGCTGAACATGAAGGCAAGGGAGAACCAAAAAAAGCCACGGTAGGGACAAGAGGAAAACCCAAGAAGGGAGAGGCACCAAACAGAATGGAGAAGCCCAAACAATCCTGCCTTCTGCCTTGATTCCATTTTCTTCACCTGGGAGGATGAGCTTAGGATGAAAAAGGATAAAACAGGGACCTGATCTGGAAAAGCTAGAAAAAATCATCTGAGAAGGTGATCGGTGTGGACTCAATAGGGATCTGGCAATCCTGAAGCCAGGGGGACCTTAGACAGCATTGAGAGGCACAGAAGAGCCTGAAGGAAAGCAGGGGGAGTCTCCCAGGCCTGAGCCCTGGCCGGACCCTCATCAAGAGGTCTGGGTTCAGTTCTGGCAAAGACAGTAACAAGTTGGGTGAGTGACCAGGCAGGGGTGGCCAAGATGATGAGGATGTGGACATCGTGATGGGGCCCTCGAGGGGACAAAGGATTAGATCTCAGGAACTGGGCAGCCCAAGATGAACTGGCTGCCTAGAATTCCTGTGGGACAGATTCCCCCTGGGAGAGCTGCTTCTGTGGCAGCCTGTAAAGGGGTCTTCATCAAGGACCATGGGCTCTCTTTTTCACTCTTCCCTCTCTTCTCTCCAATGGATATGACCTAGAACTGTCCGTAGAAGGACATAGTGGGTGGGGGAAGGGAAGAGGTGGGTATTTAGTGCAGAGAAGAGAAGAAGTGGGGGATGTAGGAGAGAGTGTTTGACAGTCTTTGAGGCTCTGAAGGCCTATTATATGGGAAAGGAACTATTTACTTTGCTTGGTCCTAGAGGGCAAAAGTAGTAGTCAAAGTCTGCTCTTGATATGTGGAGACAAAATGTTAGCTTGATGTAGGAAAATGTCCTAATTATCAGTGCTGTGGCAAAGTCCAACAGGTCACCTAGGGAGGTAGTGAGCTCTCCATCCCCGGAGGTGTTCTGTCAGAGTCCAGGTGGCTGCTTGTCTAGAGGCGTTGTAAGAGAGAACTGCTGTTGTGAAATGGGAGGCCCCTTCCAGCTCTTAGCTTCTGTGATGGAGATGAATTGGAGCTAAAAGAGAGGGGGAGTTTGAGGACCAGACGCTGACATGACTGTGGGCACGACCGCAGGAACGATGAAGAGACAGGAGAGCATGGGACCAAGGATATAGGTGGACAGGTGGGACTTGTGGAGGAGAAGGGCACCTTTTCATTAGCACCATGGGAGTATAAGAGGAGAGAGAGAGAAAGAGAGAAGGAGGGAGAGAAAGAGAGAAGGAGGGAGGGGGAGAAAGAGAAAAAGAGAGAGGGAAGGAGAGAGAGACAGAGAGAAGAAAAAGAGAGAGAGAAGAGAGAGAGGAAGAAGGGGGGGG